TGGGATGGGACGGGATGGGTGAGAAGAGAAGAGGGAGAGCCAGCTAGAAGTTCTGGCTCATGCGGGAAGGTCGAAGGAGCTGGGCATAGTATTTCCGGGAGCCCCCCTTACTGATAGTCATGCTGCGTAGCTCCGGAGGGAAGGCATAGTAACGCTGGGAAAGGATGTCAGGTTGACACAAGGACGCCCTTTCAAGCACGAGCTGTCCAGTGAGGCCGTGTCCCGCCTCCCGGATAGCCCCCTCCCTGTCACCGTCACACTCCCGGTTGACCACCTATTGAGCCTGAACTGGAAAGAACCTTCCAGTGAACAGTGGATCGGACTCGGTGGGTCTTCCTCACTGGGATTTATGGCCTGATGCCATTCTGTCGTTCCACAGCCATTGACAGGAAAGGACGGGGCACTAAAACCAAAGAGCGGGGAAATATTTTGTTACTTAATTGATTTAGAAGTCTTATAAGCCTTTATCGAGTACCTACCATATGCAGCACTGTGCCTGATGCAGTGGGGAGAGGAAGGAGGGGAAAGAGAGGAGGGGAGGGAGGAAGGAAGTTTCTGGGGGAACTTGCAGGACGGTGGGCCGGATGGGCCGTGCTGACTCGCCCAGCAGCCACGTGCTGGGAGCTGCACCGAGGCGGGATTGCCGGTTCTAGGCTCTCGCAAAGACGGTGGCCGTAGGGAGACGGGTGGGAGGGGACATGTGTTCCATGGGGAGGGGACCGCATGGAGCAGGTTGTCTCTCCCGTCAGTGACCTGTGGGTGACCGGTCCACTCTGTCAGGAGGGGAGGCTGTGCTGAGAGAGAAGCCCGAGAGGGCTGGGGCGGGCCTGGGGCGAGCCTGGAATTCGTGCTGTGGAGTCGGGGCTTTGTTCCTGAGGCCCAGACACTGCAGGCGTTGAAGCAAAGCAGGGACATGGTGGGGTGGTCGGGTTGTCATTCAGAAGAGGGTCTGGTGGCAGCAGGAGCGCTGGCAGGATGGGGGCAGGAGGCGGGGGGCAGAACCCAGGCAAGGACCCCCTGCTGGGACCAGAAAGGAGACGAACCCCTAAGGATATTGTGGTTAGGGCCTGCAGTGTGACGGTGATTTTGGTATAGAGCATCCTGTGCAGCTTTCATGCACCGGAGAGAAAGGGACCTGAGCACGAGGGAGCTGAGAAACTGAAACAGAGCAGGAGGGTGAGGGGGGGCGAGCCCCGGGGCCCTGGCTCTGGGAGCGGCGGGCCCCTCTGCGTCCCGGCGCTCGCACAGGGCAGCCGCAGGGTCAGTCCTCGGGGATGAACCGGAGGCCCTGCCAGCCACTAACCCCCCGGGGGGTGCTTGGCAACTCCTGAAGACATTCATGGTTGTCACAACTTGGGGAGGGGCTACTTCTGGCACCTCGCGGGCAGAGGCCAGGGATGCTGCCCCCACAGAGATCACCAGCCCCAAGGGTCAGCAGCATGAGGGTGAGAAACTGCTCCGGAGCAGCCCTTTCCCTCTCCCCACATCTCCGGTCAGGTTGAACCCGGGTCCCCAAGGGTCTTGTGCGCTTCTGTTTTCCGTGACTGACTCTTTCCCGCACCGACCAGTGTGCCCCCCCGCTTCGGCTGCAACACACCCCAGAATCCTAGTGTTGTCCTGACCCTGGAAAAGTACCTCAGGGCAGGAGGGAAAGGAACCTGGGCGTGAGAAAGTCATCCAGGCCCGAGCACATGTTTGCACCCCGGACGCACGGCCGTGGACGGAGCCGTTCCAGGGCCACGCGTCCGGGTGCTGGTCACCGCGTCCCCTTGAGTTGCTTTGTCAGATACTACGAGCATCCGTGCCTGAAGCTGTGTCCACGCGGCGGCTACGTGGAGTTGCCGCCCTGATCCGCAGTCTGGGTTTCGGATGTCTCTTAGGGAAGAGAATCGATGTCACAGTCACCTGATCTTATGCTTGTCACCACTGACTGTTCATCCCCAAAGGTGTCAGACGCAGGGGGAGAGCCCAGGTGGGGGGTCCGGGGAGAGAGCTGAGCTCCGCCCGAGGTTGTTGAGTTTGTTCCACGTAGAGAAGAAAGGAATGCTTATAAATATTTTGGCAGCTATAGGCTCAGGTTCAAAATGCATACGGCACGCAGTCTTTCCGGTATTGTAAAATTAAGTTTTGATGTGAGAGTTTTTAATGACTTGTCATGATAAAGGTATTGTTTTGAACTCGCTGTTTCACTTTGAATAGCGTGTGTGTGTGTTCCCATCGTTTATCATATTTTGAATGATTCACCAACTCGGTCGGCGAGACTTTGCAGCTGTCCCACCGCCCATGTGAGCTGTGCTCCCGGAACCCGCCCCGGTGCGGCCGGAGTGTTGCGTGTGCCGCTGGGAGAGCTCGGCTCCCCCTGGAAGCTGTGGACAGGCCCGCGGCCGCCTCGGGGAGCAGCCGCGATCACACGGGATCCGTGAGCACCGCGCGCCTCGCTGCGAAGGGAGAGAGATCACTGCTCTCGGAGGTTTTCTTTAACATTCTGCAAAATAGACACCGAGTCTCCGGTTTCGTTCACAAAGAATAATCAGGGATATACATTGGAAACAGATGCGCGTCGGGCTGACCGCTTGCCAGACCGGCTTTCCACGCGGCCCCGCAGCACAGGCCGAGAGGCCGCAGTGCGCTCCCGGCCGGGAGGAGCTGTGTCTGTAACGTGGGATTTGTGGCGATAGGGCCCATGCGCTGGGAATGTTTTTGGCACCGGCCAGCCCTGACTCCAGCTCCCTTGCGAGCCTCCCTCTGGTCTCGTGAAAGACTTTAAATTTAGCACAGAGCGTCTCTGTGAGGACACAGCGGCCCTTCCTGCAAGTGTCTAGGCGCGGCCTTTCCTTCCGGCGGGAGGCGCGGCAGGCCCAGGGTCAAGGGCAGGGTGGGCTCCCTGGCACTGTGCTCGGGGGCCCGTGGGGGGGGGGTGTCTCGCAGAAGCGTCTAGGTCGTCACAAAATCCCTTTCGCAAGTTCAGGAACTCTGTGGGCCCCGCCGTGTCAGCAGAAAGACCAGGGTCTTAGTAAGATCTAATGATAGACGTTTGAGCCACGCACGCGTTAGCACCTCTCCGTGTTCTGCCCAGAAGAACGATGCTGGTGTTTTTTAACATTATAGTTTCTGATAAATAACAAATCAGTATTGTTTGCTGTTATAGTCTGTTTGCTTTCCAAAGGCAGTCATTTTACATTTTTGTCCCGGGAAACGGTTAGGGTAAAAATAATATTTCCAATCAGAATCGGTTTCGAAGATGAGCGTGTGTTTGCTTCGTACCAATTCTACTTGTTTAGGTTTTTTTTTTCCCCCTCCGAATCAGTGCTTTCAAGAGATGGAAATTACTTTGTATTTCATTTCATGACAAGGAAGGAAAAGCGTGAGAGTGCCCTCTCTTGTACAAAGTGAAAATGAAAACATTTAAGATGATAAATGCTCCGAAGTGCAATGAACTTGTCAAGAGCTGATTCAGGGCATAACTGAACTAATTGAGCAGGACGGCTAATCAGTCCCGGTAAGCGGCGGTGCAAAGATAAGCGGAATTTTAGGGGTTTTTCGGCCCCTAAATCCCATTGATTTGTGTGTTCAACATTCTAATCCCTTTCATAGAGTTAACCTGAAAATATTTGATCTCACCTCAGGTTATGTTACAAATGCCTTATGCATACATCTATAGGATTAGTTAATTTTATAGGCGTGTCTTACTATAAGGAAATTTAATCATATACGTTGCCCCGTCTTTAGTTTTCAAATAAGTAAATAAGGCCATGGTTTTCTAATTTGCATGTTTAACTAGGCTTTCTAAATGCCAAGACGGCCTTTCAGAAGCCGGCTTCTCCAGAGTCTTATAAACATGGTCAAGAGTACGAATAATTTGTTTTATCAAGCAGACACCCAAATTTATAAAGTAAGACTTTACAAATTTCCCAAGTGGTTTCTATATTAGATACCTACCATTGCCCTGACCCCTGGCTTTGACATTATTTCGGTCGTCCCCTTTTGGGGGTCTCTGTGACGTGGTGACCTTGTGCCAGTTTAGAGAGGAAGAAAGTGATGCGGAAGGTTTATGCGGCCGGCTCACAGCCAGGTCACAGCGTGAGCCCAGGCCGCCTGGCTGTGAAGTCTGGGCTCTCTAGAAGTCTCAAAAATGAGTAGTCAGCCTCGGACCCCGAGCTTAGCCCTGTTATCCTCAAAGGAATGTATTGCTCACAGCCCCTGGTTTCTCCGGGGGAAGCGCAGGTTCATCTGGGTCATGTTTTGGTTTGACGACAGTTCCTTGGGTGGTTTAAGGGACTAATAACCCTTTTTCTTAAAAAAAAAAAAAAAATGTATGAAAATTATTATCTCGAACACTAATGGGACAACTGTTGTGTAGAGATGACTTTCATTTTCATGACTTACCTGTTGGCTAATAAGTTTTTAATGCTGTTTTAAAACAGGGGCGGTCTATTAGCTGAGGTGTATGTTAGCGCTGCGACTTCATGGACGGGAGGGTCCGGCGGTTCAAAGAAGCGTAAGCCTTGCTCTTTCTGGACCCGGCGTATCTGATCACCAGTTTTCCTCTGGAAACGATAGATGTTGATTTGATGGCTTTTTGTATTCCTACGATTTTGAATGAACGGTGACAGAACACAGCGCTTTCCCCCAATATTAGTCAGTGATAGGTGCTAAGTTGGCTGGTGCCGTATTATAACAGAATGTCCTTTATTTCTGCAGTCACAGCCCTTTCAGACAACATAAAACCAAAGATAAGCATGAAATAGACCGGATGACACTGACCGTGGTAAGGAGATAAAAACTCTATTTTTATTCAATTTCATGTTCCCATTACAACCAGTGTGAAGTTTTGCTGTCTCAAAAATAAATACGTGAAAATGCAAGCCCTAGAAGAATCTCGGAATAGAAGAAATAATGGGAATAGATGGTAAGGCAGAAATCAAGATTTGCTGACAATCAGTAAGAGAAAGATACAGAAAATTAAGAACAGAACGAAAGAAATGAAATAAAAAGGGGAAATGACTGAGATGCAGAGAAGTGAGGAGACCTTCTGGTTCTTTTTTTCTCGCCTGCAAATTGACCTGGAAAATGATTAGTAACTGCTTTATGTTTCTTTAGATGAAAAAAATATTAGTCTGTGATGAATCTGTAATTTTTAACACTGTCCTTACCCAAGGAACGGTCTTTAAATCTGGCCGGGTGGGAAAGCGCCATTTCCGTGAATGCACTTTTGAAATTGAAACTGTGTCTCGTTTACCCCCAGAACGTGGAGCTTCCAGACACCTTCTCCCCGGAGCTGAAGTCCCTCCTGGAGGGTTTGCTCCAGCGCGAAGTTAGCAAGCGGCTCGGCTGTCGCGGAGGCGGGTAGGCTGCTGTTTCTGCCCGTCAGGATCGTTACCCGCAGGGGAAAACAGTCATTTCCAATAAGTCCAGAGTCATTCCTAGTATTTAAAAATCTTCCACTTTGATTCCAGCAGGGGGGAGAAAATCCCATGGGAAGTATGTGTGTTGTCCCATGTGTTCCGTAATTAACAACCTGAAGGAGTCGCCAACTTTTTTTTTTTTTAAGATTTTTAAATTGATTTTTAGAGAGAGAGGAAGGGAGAGGGGGAGAGAGAGAAAAACATCGACGGGCTGCCTCCTGCCGGGGATCGACCCTGCAAACCGGGCATGTGCCCTGACTGGGAATCGACCTGGCGACCTTTCAGTGCACAGGATGACACCCCACCAACTGAGCCGCACCGGCCAGGTCGGAGTCGCCAAGTTTTTAACTTTAGAAGTCGATCGTGTGGGTGGTGGAAATGAATTCTGGTATTTCATCGTTTCATTTGGTGAAGTTTCAGTAATGATTAGTACTGATTTAGTAATGGTTGTATTTGTAAATTTTAATATTCTGATCAGGTTCTCACATATTTTCTCTAATGTATGACTGCCCCCGCAACTCCCCGCGGCGGTGGGGGGCCTGGGCCAGGTTCCAGGCCTTGTGTCAGGCCAGTGAGGTGCAGGATCCTGTTGTAAATGCCACGGGAAGGTTTTGGAGAGTTTCGAGCAGGAGAGAGGTGACATCATTTGAAAGGCGATTCCGGTGCTATACGTAGTGGGGCGGTGACCGCAGTGGCGGGAGGGGGGGGGGACGCAGGAGGCAGCTGGAGCAGTGCCTGTGTGAGCTGGCAGGGGCCTGGCGGCGCCCCGGTGTTCTCAGGAGCGTCGGCATCCTCTCCGGGGTCCAAGACACCACACCCCTACTGAGCGTGACATCGGGGATCGGAGGCTGGAAGAAGCGGTCAGGCCCGGGCCTTGCTGAGGGCCGGCTGTGGAGAGGAGGGAAGACAGGAATGGGGGGTTATCCTGGCTTGTTGGCCTAAGATGCTGAGATGTGGAAGGGAAAATCCAGAGTCCTGCTCGGACCTTTACCTCATCTAAGTGGAGCTGCGGGTAGGCACCTGCACACGTGGCCTCCCGCAGCTCAGGACACAGGTCAGCACTGGGACCCAGATGTGGGGATTATCTGCAAGTACAGGGCACTTAGAGGCCGGGAAGGGTGACGTCGCCCAGAGAGCGATTGTGGAGGAGGGGGGGCCAGCCCTGAGCAGGAGGAGCACCCCGGGCCAGGGCTGGGGAAGAGCCATCAGTGCGGGACGCCGGGAGCACGCATGTCCATGACGCAGACTTGACCCAAGGGGCACGGCTTTTTCTGTTCTGTACGCGTCGAGCTTTAATAATGATCCTCAGGAAAACTGGCTTCCTTAGTTTATAAAGGGGAGTGGCAGGCACGATTTTATTAGGTTTATAATTTGTTTGCAAGTAAATGTTCGGTGCTTCATATCCTGTCGTTTTAGCCGTCACGGCTTGAAGGCACTGCTGTAAATCTCTCTGATGTGCAGATCCCTGATTTAATTCTTATTTAAATTTGTTCTCATGATTACAGGGGGGGAAAAAAAATTAAAAAAAAAAAATATATATATATATATATAAAGTCTGTGAAAACTCCTTGATTCCCCCCAACCGGAGTAAATGCTCCAAATAAGCGATCGCGTGGGGCCGCGCTCCTAGCCCCGCACGCAGGATTTCCAAACACCGCGGCGCTTCCTGTGCTGCTTCGGGAGAAGCGTCTTTGACGTGCTTGCTTAAGGAACTGGAAACAGTTGTCCCTCGGTGTTCCTAATAGGAGACAGTGTTTGCAAAGTAGTTCTTGGATTTCCGCTCGTGCGCTCACGGCTGTCGTGACTCTCTCCCCTGCAGCGCGCGGGAGGTGAAGGAGCACGGCTTCTTCAAGGGCATCGACTGGCAGCACGTCTACTTGCAGAAGGTACCGCCTGCGGGAGCCTCCCGGGCGCCAGCGTGCGCCCCCCCGCCCCCACCCCCGCTTCCTGGCTCTGTCCCCGGGGTCCCCTGCCCCCCGGCTTCCTTTTTGCCCCGTGCGGCTGGATGGTGACCCCCTCGGGGGCTGCTCGAGGCTGCCCCTTCATTCCCTGGTTTAAACGTTTTGAAAACGCCTTCTGTATGCATTAGTAAATGGCGAAATGGAGCTGTTATCTAGNCTTCCCCAACAGCCATTTGTAAAAGTACTTAAAACTATTACTCAAAGAATTTCTCCAGCTCCAGCCTTTCCCCCTTTTTTTTTTTTTTTTTTTTTTAGCTTTAGCTCATCCCCCTGGTTTCTGATCTCAATAGATGTCTGTATCTTTATGTTTTCCTGAAGTAAAAATGTACAGGAAACGTTTGTCGTAAGCTTACATACACTCTCTAGCCCAGAACCACATCATTTAAGAATTCTCATGATTGCATGTCAGCAACAATGCCCATTCCTTATTTTTTTAAGCTATTTTTCTATTTGCGACGATATAGGAAAACACGCCAAGTTGAAGTGGTGTTGTTTTTTTTAATGTTGATTGTCAGCTTTGGACTCGTTTTATGACCTCAAACTGTGGAGGAATCAGTGACCTGTTATCCTGCCTGATTAGAATTAGGGTTCGAGCCCCGCTTCAGCCGGCGTCGGCCTGGGGACCTTGGGGGCGTGGAGCGCTCTGTCGGCCCCGTTTGCTTGAAGGGCCTCGCCAGTGGAACGCGGCCCCCGACCCCCTGAGAAAATGTGCTTCCTTAAGGCTGAGCTGGGCGCATGTGCCATCGTGAGCCTTCGCTGTGTTTGAAAATTATTTAAGACTTGAGACACGAGGCTTTCGTTTGGCCTTAAATCTGCCTGAAATCCAAGGGCCTTCTTTGGGGCACTGACGACTTGCGCTGTGTTCTCCGTGTGGAAGGGCGGGCTGGGACGGGGCCGTAAGGTCGCCGGGTAACTGAACCTCCCTTCTTTGGGTCTTCCAGTACCCGCCACCCTTGATTCCTCCCCGGGGAGAGGTGAACGCCGCTGACGCCTTTGACATCGGCTCCTTCGATGAAGAGGACACCAAGGGCATCAAGGTGCACACGCGATGTTGGCCCTCAGGGTTTTGGGAGGGG